CAACACATCCGATAGAGCTCGTGGATAAACCGGCTCCACTCATTGCCATCCCTACCTCCAATGGTGATGAATCAAACATCTGCAACACGAACATGCTACCATCATCCATCATATTCTCCATTAAATGTTCGCTACCATGGTCATTGTCATCTACCAAGAGACCTCTCTCCACCTAAACCACTTTCACCACCCAAAATTTGTAGTGCTACAATTTCCAAATTCTGGAATATAGTCACCATCTTTTATTCGGCAAAAGAGAGAAATGGTTGTACTTGGGCAAAGCTCATTTACTCCCATTCTCATCTTTATTCTATATCTTTATCTTTCCAAAGTTAGCACGTAGTTACAAGATTTTGCAGTTAATTTGTTGTGGATCGGATTGTAAGAAACACATGGATGTTATTTTCCTGACTAATGGTTAGGAGTTTTAGAGTTGATGGCTGCTCAATCGAGTCTAGCAATGGTTGCGGGATGGATAGAGTTGTTATTCTGGCCTCCTTGTTGGTTTGGCCCACGAGGGATGGTAGGTAGGTAGAAGAAAAGTTACCCAATGCTTTTGTTGATAGTGGGATTGGGCGTTTCACTTGAGCATGGTAACCCAAAAGGCATAAAAAAAAAATAGGTTATGCTTCTGTAGTGTGGTGGTGGTCTAGTTCACCTGGGAGGAGAGGGACATAAAAAATGAAGAAAGAAGATCAAATATTCTTCAATGTCAATGTGAAGATTTTGGAGGAAATGATTTAGCCAAATCTGCTTGGGAGTTGGGGCTGACGTAATTTTATTTAAAAAATAAAAAAAATCAGGAGTATGATGTTCAAATGCAGATTCTTGTTCTAATCCATTCTGAATCTGATTCAAAGACTGTCAAACTCTGGTTCTGATTCTGGTAGTGAAGCAAAATCAAATTTACAGTTAAATTCGGAGGTAGGCACAGTTGATATGATGATCATCGCTTTCATCCCAATATATAGACAAAAGTAGGAACCATATTAAATCATTTATCAGGTTGACATGCTTGCTGTTGAGATGTATCTTGAGAAGGAAATAAGGTGTGTTTTGACTTTTTTATTTGCTGAACACATTCTAGGTTTTTGAAAATGTCAGAGGAACTTGCTGTTGAGATTTACTTGTAGGAATTGTTTCAAATAATTAACCAAAAATTGAAAAATGAAAAGGTGTGTAAAAGTGGAAAATGAAAAGGTGTGACTATGTGTCAACTTCGATCAAATATTCGGACTTGATCTAATGGTCAAATTACAAAAGTAAATAGACCAACTTATTCTACTCGTCGAGTAAATCGTCATGGTATATTTGAAATCTCGAAACCAATTCTGGATGAATGAAAAATTGCTGACTAATATTGGAAGAAATGAAGTGTTGTAATTTTTCGAAATGATGCAGGTTTTGGCCAAGCGTTGCAACTTTTTGAAAGGATGCATGTTTTAGCCTACACTACTTTATTTGCACCCTTTCTACATCTATAAGTAGAACCCTATGGACATGGTTTTGGGTACACCAATTGCATTGAGTATTCATTCTCCTCTTGCAATTCTCTACTTCTAATTCTATAATATTTTCATGCATTTCCTTGGTAGAGAGGAAATTCCGTTCGAGTTCGCTGGTCGAAATCATTTGAAGTGTTCCTATGGCTTGACGTGGTCATTGTATCTTCGGAGATGATTGTCGAAAAATCGTTAGCACCGATGCGGGACAAATTCATCTTACGGACCAAGTGTCAAACACTTGCCTCGACCAAAAATTCATCACTTGCATCTTTCTTCCTGTAGTTTTCTGATTTCTTTTGATTATATTTTGATTTCGGAAAATGATTAACATTGTTTACATGTTTATGTTGCAAAGTTCGATCAAAAGAATAATTTGCTTTCGTTCAAGAATCGAAAGGGATGAATCCATATCCATGCATTCAGATTAGGTAACTTTTATGTTTTCCTTCTCAAACTCCATTTCGGTAAGGCGAAACCTTATTTCAATTTCGTGAACATAAACGGTATATTTTTTATGAATATAATATGTATATAATCAGTATATTCCCCAACAATCTTAAGATGAATTTATTTTTGTACATTTTATATTTTGATAAGTAAGTTACATGACTTGAGTATGTGGCTTGATAACCTATAAAATCTATTTTATATGCCTGACTATGAAATTGCACGTGTATGCATGTGTGAGATTTAAATTTGTTATTGCATGAATTATTTACTATTCACACCATTTTAACAGTTATGCTCCATTGGGTATTATTTTGATTAAGTCTTATTCGTTCACGTATCGATTGAATTCCAAGAATTCAATTTGTTTAAAAGATTTAATTATGAAGGGCTTGAGTTCTTTTGTCTTCAAGCCATGGCAGTTTAATTTTCAAAAGCATTATGTCTATCCCTTTTCTTAAAATATTGTGAATGGCATGTGAATAGATGCTTACATGAAATTATACATTGAGAGAATAATGATAGTAAAATATTCTCTAATTTGGGTTTGTTAAAATGCAACATATTCGAGATTCAATATAATGAATAACTTTGGTCTTGTTTTACCTTATGTGGACACTTCTTTGTATGAATGGTTATACTCAAACCAATGACCATTAGTGGGAGAAGCTGCCAAAGCAAATTTAATTTCTTCCATCCTTCTTTATTTAACAATAGGCTTCGAAAACACGTGGGTGACCAATTTTCATCTGTGTTGGCTGTTGCTATTGGTTTTGGAAGTGCATGGTGCAATTCCGACTATTGTTTAATTTAATTAATTGTGGTAGTGGCAATTCATGTTGTGATAATGAGATTGCAATGTCATCTCTTATAATATGGAAGTGCACAAACTCCCTTGAGACATTGACATTCCTATAGATGGAATACATTTATACAATGGATGTATGAATGTTTGGAATATAAATTGTTATTCCTTCACTTTGGTCATGATGAATTTGATATTGCTAAAACCAACTCGAGTCCAATAATGAATGGATGGAAATGAGGAAAGTATTCCTAACCATTGGACATATAAGGATGCCAATTATTTGACGAAGGTATATGAAATTTCATGACAATCCCTTTGATTAGAATATGATAATGGCATGGTAAATTAGTTGGTTAAAATTTCATATCTTATTGAAATTATACTAACTTTGACCATGATAATAGCCTCAATTAATTTGATAAAATTAAGTGAGATGATTTAAGTGGATACCATTATTTAGTAATGAGAATTAAGCCACTTAATTATTTGAAATTGTAGAAAATTGTGTAGAATATTATGAAATATTCTAGTATCAATTTAGATGAAAATGTGCGTCCTTTCATATGAAAAACCATGACTTTTGATATAATTATTAAGCCTATCCACATGCATTAGAAGGGAGGGGGAGACTAACCTAGACAATTACCGGCGGCTGCTTGTGAGTTCAAACATTGGGCTGAATTTATTATTTTCAAAAACTAAGTTGGTGGCTGCAATGGAGAAAAACCGCCGGCAGAAAAAAGAAAGGAATTTGGAGAGAAAAGGAGGCTCTTGAGGTTGAATTAATTGGGGACAATTCGGCTACCTTGGTAAGAATATATACAAAAACGGTGGGCAGCTGCTGGAGTTAAAAAGATACACAAGTGGCCGCTGGAAAGAAATAAACTTGGCAACTATGGAATAAAATTGGCGGCTTCCCAAAGGAAAAAGTGATGCTGGTCTTTTATCATATATATACATACGTAACCAGGCTGCCTATACGTATAATTGCATGGATTTGGGCTGATTTATATATATATATACTACACACACAATTTGGGAGCACACTGGAGGAAAGAATTGAGTGCCAACCGGGGATTACAACCACATTGTCGACGGAAATTGCAGAGAATATTTGCCGACAGCTTTCTGATTTTTATATAGAAACAACACACATAATTGGGCCAAAGACATATTGAAAAAGGGCTGCTTGGGGGAAATCAACATACACGTGCAAAAGTCGAGCAAATTCGTGGAGTCAATCATGTCCCGTCGATTTTCGGTGATTTCCTTCCACTTTTCTTTGTTTAATTCCAACAGTATGTTAGGCTAATTTTTTTCCTATATTGGATGAATGACAAAGTTGTTTAACTTTTAGTTTTAATTCGAGACTTGTGTTTATCTTTAATTCTTGTGTTGTGATTCCATTAATATGCCTATTTACATTGTTTTAATGTTTACGCACCATTAGGACAATAAGTTACTTATTCGTTGTTTTGAAAAACTCACGATATGTAGAACACTATTATTGGAACATACGGACAATAAACATTAGGAATAATATTTGTGGCGTGTGCGATCATATGTAATAATCCTAGATGTCAGTGCATGTTCACCATATGAATTCGGACTAAGAATAGGACCGTCTCATGGTAAACATAGGTTTATTATATCTTGAAAAAGAATAATAAATAATAGTGGAATTATCGATCGTCATAATTGCATAAATTGAGATAATTATCACTAGTTGAGAATTAGAACTAAGAATCGATCAATGGCGTCGGAAATCCAATACGTTCGAACATTTGATTTTTACACCAACCTTAATTGTTTTTACAAGTTTTAGTTATAAAAATTATTTAGCTAGTCCTTCGATAGTCTTTTAGTTACAAACACGAATTTGAATATATCAAATATACTAAAATTGATCCTTACTCCTTGTAGGACGATAACTCTCTCATCACGATTATTACTTGTACAACGAACCCGTACGCTTGCGGGAATTTGACGAACAAGTTTTTGGCGCCGTTGCCGAGAAATAACGGTGTTAATTTTAGTTGTTAGATATTTTAGATTCGTTTTTATTTATTTATTATTGTTTTTATTTTCATTTTATTTTTAGTTGTTTTTTGGCTATCATTACACTTTTTAGGCAACTTTAGTTTATGCAAAATCCTGACGAGCCAGATCTCTTTCCAATAGACCACGAAATCGAAAGAACATTTAGAAATCGCAGAAGAGTTCAACGTCAAGTAAGGAGAATGGCTGATAACCAAAATCAAGTTCAGCTTCATGAGCCAGTACCGCAGCCAAATCAACTGAGAGCTAACCAGAACGAAGCTCCTGTCTTAGTTGGAGATCACATTAATCTAATTCCTGTACCAGTGCAACCTGCTTTGGTATACCCTCCCTTTGGACAACCTAATTTCCACCTTCGACCAAACGTCATCAATTTGTTTCAAAATCACCAATAAATCAGGTTCTTTGGAAAAGCCAAAAAAATCCTCATGAGCATATTTCTGCGTTTCTCATGTTATGTGACGTGATCAGTCACGAAGGGATATCAGCAGATGCATTCCGATATGAGATTATTCCCTCACACCTTAAAGGATGCTACTAGAGAATGGTTTCTTTGTTTACCACCGGAAAGCATTCAATCATGGAACGATATGGTTCAAAAATTCACGATGAAATTCTTTCCACCTTCTCGAATTCACCAAATTAGGAATGACGTTCACACTTTCAAGCAGAAAGATTTAGAGAGCTATCCTGAGGCATGGGAGAGGTTCAAGAATTTTTTGAGAAAATGCCCCAACCTTGACATTCCCAAACAGGCTCAGCAATATCTTTTCTACTACGGTCTAAAACAAGAGTTTAGAAATATGATAGATGCTTCAGCAGGAGGATCAGTGATGAAACTGGACGTGGATGAGGCATATGACCTGTATGAAAAAATAGCTGAAAACCAATCGATGTGGCCAACTGATAGGGAAGCTCCAAGAAAAACATCAGGGTTACACAATGTAGATGCAGTGACAGCACTGGCCGCGCAAATGGAAGTTCTTACAGTGAAAATGGACAATCTATCTAAGTCAGTCAACATGGTATACCAATCGCCACCTGTTTGTGAAGGCTGTGGAGCGAATCATGCTAGTACACGCTGCCCTTTGGCGTCTGTACATGTTAATCAATCCAAAGAAGTAAGCTACACACAGAACATTCAGAGACATCATAATAATCCTTTCTCCAACACATTTAATCCAGGTTGGAAGAACCATCCAAATTATTCATGGTCCAATAATCAAGGACAAGAACAGGGAGGAAGCAATCAGAATAAACCACCAGGATTCCAACAGCAACAACAGCAAGGGAGAAGGCCATCATTGGAAGATTTGCTGGCTCAATATATTACTAAAACTGAGACCAACTTTCAAAACCAACAAGCCTCGATCAAGAATTTGGAACAACAAGTTGGACAAATTGCAACCGCACTATCAGGTAGAGCTCAAGGGACATTGCCTAGTAATACTGAAACAAATTCTAAGGAGCAGGTCAAAGCAATCACTACACGTAGTGGCACCTACCATGGACGAGGAGCAAGTGGATGAATTAGACAAGGCCACTGAGGAAAATCAAGTTGAATCATCAGATAGTCCACAGGTAAAAGCAACTGCTCCTATCAAAGCATATGTTCCTCCAATCCCATTTCCACAGAGATTGCAAAAACATAAGCTCAACAAGCAATTCCAAGAATTTTTGGATGTGTTCAAGAAGCTGCACATTAACATACCATTTGCTGAAACTTTAGCCCAAATGCCCAGCTATACCAAGTTCATGAAAGACATTCTATCAAATAAGAAGAAGCTGGAAGACAATGAAACAGTCATGCTTACTGAGGAGTGTAGCGCAATTCTCCAACACAAATTACCACCGAAACTAAAAGACCCAGGGAGTTTTACTATTCCTTGTCACATTGGTAACTTGTATATAGATAAGGCATTGTGTGATCTAGGAGCTAGCATTAATTTAATGCCTTTATCTCTTTTTCAAAAACTAGGTTTGGGGGAAGCAAAACCAACTACAGTTTCACTGCAATTGACTGACAGGTCGATCAGACACCCTCGTAGTATTTGTGAAGATATTTTGGTAAAAGTTGACAAGTTTATCTTCCCAGCGGACTTCATTATTTTGGATATGGAAGAAGATAGAGACGTTTTCCTCATACTGGGTCGTCCATTTTGGCTACGGGAAGAGCTCTGATAGATGTGCAAAATGGTCAGTTGATATTGAGGTTAAATGGAGAAGAATTGACAATCAACGTGTTTAGAGGTTTCAGATTTCAGAGCGAACCGAATTCTTGCATGCAGATTGATGTAATAAAAGAAGCGGTGTCAGAGACATTCAAACTAGATCACCCTCAAGATCCGCTTAAGGCTTGTTTAGTGCATTCACAAGATTTACCATCAGAAAAGGAGGAAGTAGAAGAATGTACACGTTATTTGGCAGTCATACCACCATTCTTCAAGCAACCACGACTGGAGCTCAGTGAAAGACCCACAACACCTTTACCATCTATAGAATAAGCTCCAGCTCTTGAACTCAAACAACTGCCAACTCATCTTCATTATGCATACTTGGGGGAAAAGAATTCACTTCCAGTAATCATCTCAAACAATCTTACAGAAGTGGAGGAGGATCAATTGCTGAGGGTGCTTCGAGAGCATAAGACAGCAATAGGATGGACGATATCGGATATAAAAGGGATCAGCCCTTCGCTTTGCATGCATAAAATACTGATAGAAGATGATTACAAAGCTTCAATTGAGCATCAATGCAGATTAAATTCGACTATGCAGGAAGTGGTAAGGAAAGAGATATTAAAGGTTCTGGATACAGGGATCATCTATCCCATATTAGACAGTCATTAGGTAAGTCCAGTACAAGTCGTACCGAAAAAGGGAGGGATCACAGTGGTTCCAAATGAAAACAATGAGCTCATCCCGACACGCACAGTCACGGGTTGGAGAGTTTGCATTGATTATCGCAAACTCAACAACGCCACAAGGAAGGATCACTTTTCCCTTCCTTTCATTGATCAGATGCTGGAGAGACTTGCTGGACGTGCGTACTATTGCTTCCTGGATGGTTATTCGGGGTACAACCAAATTCTTATAGCACCAGATGACCAAGAGAAGATGACCTTTACATACCCTTATGGCACTTTTGCTTATAGGAGGATGACATTCGACCTTTGCAATGCTCCAGCCACCTTTCAGCGCTATAGAATGTCTATTTTTTCAGACATGGTGGGACATATTATTGAGGTGTTTATGGATGATTTCTCAGTGTTTGGAAAATCATTCAAGGAATGCCTTGAACATTTGGAAAAAGTGTTACAACGGTGTGAAGACACAAACCTCGTATTAAATTGGGAAAAATGTCATTTCATGGTACATGAAGGGATTGTGTTAGGACATTTAATTTCAGCACGGGGTATTGAGGTTGATAGAGCTAAGATACAAGTCATCGAAAAACTACCACCGCCTGTAACAGTAAAAGGAGTTAGAAGTTTTCTGGGTCACGCTGGGTTTTACCGTCGCTTCATCAAAGACTTTTCCAAAATCTCGAAGCCATTGTACAATTTACTAGAAAAAGGGACCCCATTTCACTTCTCTGAGGAATGCTTGACAGCTTTCAACGCCTTAAAAGAAAAATTGGTTTCTGCTCCAGTATTGGCTTCTCCAGATTGGACTTACCCATTCGAGCTTATGTGTGATGCCAGTGATCACACAGTGGGCGCAGTGTTGGGTCAACGAGAGGAGAAAAGTTCTCATGTGATTCACTATGCCAGTAAGACTTTGGATGAAGCTCAAATGAATTATACGACTACAGAGAACGAGCTGTTGGCAGTAGTGTTCACCGTTGACAAATTCAGATCATACTTGATTGGGTCAAAAGTGATTGTCTATACAGATCATTCAGCATTAAAATATCTAATGAGCAAGAAGGATGCATAGCCGAGACTTATTCGTTGGATACTCCTATTGCAAGAGTTTGATCTGGAAATTAGAGATAAAAAGAGGAGTGAGAATGTTGTGGCAGATCACCTCTCACGCCTTGAATCACATGAGTCAAGTCTTACATTGGAGATCAATGAAGTCTTTCCTGATGAAATGCTCTTTCAGATTATCACTACACCATGGTACGTCGATTATGTCAATTATTTGGCCCGCTCCATCATCCCACCAGACTACTCAAGTCACCAAAAGAAGAAATTCTTCAGTGACATAAAACACTACTTTTGGGATGATCCAATTCTTTACAGAAGGGGTCTAGATCAAATCATATGCCGTTGTGTGCCAGAGGTGGAGCAGCATCAAATATTAGAGTCATGTCACTCTGCACCGTATGGGGGCCACTTCGCAGCAACCAAGACAGCAGCAAAGGTACTGCAATCGAGTTTTTATTGGCCTACGTTGTTCAAGGACGCCCACTATATGGTGAAACATTGTGATAAGTGCCAAAGGACTGGAAATATCTCAAGGAGGAATGAGATGCCTTTGAACAATATCTTGGAGGTTGAAATATTCGATGTTTGGGGCATTTTCTCCATCCTATGGTGAACAATTTATATTAGTGGCAGTGGACTACGTGTCTAAGTGGGTTGAAGATATAGCTTTACCAACTAACGATGGTCGAGTGGTAACTCAATTCCTGAAGAAGAATATTTTCACAAGGTATGGCACCCCGAGGGCAATTATTAGTGATGGTGGAAAGAATTTTTGTAACTGCTTATTTGCTTCTTTGTTGGCCAAATATGGAGTGAAATATCGTGTCTCGACTCCATACCACCCTCAGACTAGCGGGCATGTGGAAATCTCTAACAGGGAGTTAAAGAAGATTCTCGAAGCTACGGTCAATGCATCACGTAAAGATTCGGCTAAAAAACTAGAAGATGCACTTTGGGCGTATAGAACAGCATTTAAGACTCTAATTGGCATATCTCCATATCGACTGCTATTTGGAAAGGCTTGTCATCTGTTGGTTGAGTTAGAGCATAAAGCATACTGGGCGACACACTTGCTCAATTTCAATATGAGAGCAGCAGGAGAAAAGAGGATTCTACAACTTCATGAGCTAGATGAGTTTTGTTTAGATTCGTATGAGAATGCAAAGATTTACAAGAAAAAACCAAGAGATGGCACGACAGGTATATAAGGGAGAAGGAGTTTGAGATTGGTCAACAAGTATTGATGTTCAATTCACGCCTCAAGCTTTTTTCGGGAAAGCTAAAGTCTAGGTGGTCGGGTCCATTCACAGTAGTAGCTGTGTTTCCACATGGTGCTGTGGAAGTGGTGTCTCAAGATCAACAAAGGAGGTTCAAAGTAAATAGACAACGATTGAAAGCTTATTGGAGAGGTGATTACTCCAGTGAAAAAACAACCGTACCACTTGATAATGTAGAGTAGCCAGAAAAACAAAGTCTAGCTAAAGACTATAAATTAAGCGCTTATTGGGAAACAACCCAATTTCTAAACCTTTTATTTATTTTGTTTTCTGTATCGCATTACATATAGATTTGTTTTAATTATTAGTTGCATTAGATTTAGGCACGTTTAAATTTATAGAGTATCATCATCCGATCATGTTTTCATTGAGGCTCTTAAATATAATGTTGGTTGATGATTCCGGATTGGTAACCCCGAACTATACCTGAATTCGAGTGCCATGATTGACCTCGACCTAATACCCCGAGTTGATCTTAGTGTGTTATGCCGGTTTGAGGTCGGGGTTTCCTTAAGGTCGGGGTCTCTAATCCAACCCTGCCCACCGACTTAATCTCCAACAGAAAATAGACCCCATCTAAGTCTACTCCTCCCCTGATTAGAACTCTAACAGAATACTTCTAATCAAACTCCAACACCTAATCCTAAGGGGGAAAGGACTCTTTCAATAATAGAATCCTTCTACAACTCCCCCACCAACACCTATAAATACTTGGCCAAGGCTTAACATTAAGGTACGTTTTTTCATTATCTTCAATTTATAACCTCAAGCACTAAATTCTCTATTTGACTTAAGCATCGGAGGGGCGACGAGCACACACCTCGTTGCCTTTGTTGCAGGTATTCACAGACCGATTGTGTTCATCAAAGTGAAGTTGGACCATCAAGCTCAAGATCTTTCAGGTGATATTTTTTGGTAGCATCATTGGTTATTTCGAGTGTTTAGGCTAAGTAACGCATATTTTGGATTTTTTTTTATCTCTACTGTTTGATTTGATTGCCATATGCAGGAACATGACGTCGTAGAACACTCAAACCAATATCGACCAAGGGGAAAGTATGATGAGAAAGATTGTCTAGCCGTCACCTACAGTATCTTCCACGTTCAATAGAAAAATTCAGGGAGTACCTTCGTCCTTTTCTTCCCCGTCCCCTTATATTCTTAATTATATTTTAAGACATTGAGGACAATGTCGGACTTAAATTTGGGGGTATGGGAAACACTTTGTGTTTTTGGTTTTCGTATGTTTCGTGCGTTGTTTACATATGTTAAAATAATAATAATAATAATAATAATCGTTAAATTTTTATTTTATTTTTTTTATTGTGTGCTTGTGTGGGTTAGACGGTTTGGCTGACAATAATGATTAAGTTTGAGATTTGGCATTGATTTATGAACTGTGGATAGGAAGCATGCTAGATTGATTGAAGCTTGAACTTGCAAAACTTGATATTATACATGCACTAGAACTAAGCTGACATTATGATTAAATGAGTTGATTCATGCACTTGATAGATTGAATTAGTTGGACATAGATACTTTACCAAAAACTATACTAATTATTTATCCTTAGACCAAATTCAGTACAGTTTGGGGAGATCTTGCTGTTGTAGGAAAATGCGGATGTAAATGTGGATTCTTTGTGTGAAAAAATTTTGTGTGGAGTTTCTGAGATTAATAGGATAAAATTAGGTGAAAGTCTTAAATGGGAGGTCGATTTGCTAGAATAGGTGTATGATAAGGGACATTGCACTAATCAAGGCATATATTTTGAAATTTAATTTGAGCTTTTATGACTCGAGCAATTAAACCTGCAAGAGTATCTTAAAGCCTAGTGCCCTAAAGTCATCTGACTTGGGAGTCATCGATCTAAAGCTCGTTACAGGGGTCATTTAAAAAGCAATCAGAGAGAAAATTACCCAAAAAAAATTGTTCTCTTCGAAGCCTTTTTGACTCAGGTTATTAAGCCTCTAAGGGTAATTGAAAATCTGGTGCCCTAAAGTCATCTGATTTGGGAGTTATCGGCTTAAAGCCTACTACATGGGTCATCTAGAAAGCTTAAGGGAGAGTGCAAAAAAAATAATAATAATAAAAAAATACTAAATGCCTTGTAAGTCCCAACACTTGTTCGAGGAAATTTAACTTTCGATAAAGGATAATTAGCCTAATTGAATTTTGATGGTCAAAGCAAATAATAATTGGAGAATCCTTATTCATTGATGTGTTGACTTGCAACTAGTGACGTCCACCTGAATTGGAGAGAGTGAGGATAGTAATGAAAAATTCAATCTTAGATCACACACTGGGAAAAAGAGTGAAAAAGAATAAGTTTGGGAGAGTGTGAATCTTACGAGAGATGAAAAGATATATTTGACCATAGAGGGTTGGGAATTGGAATAACTTGTGAATTCATTAATGCCTACTTAGTTCTTCACACACACACGTCGATTTTGCATTGGAAAAGTGGATATTAGTTTGGTATTACGACTTTGAAGTAGTTTTTAAATTTAATGACGTGATTTCAAATCCTGAGATAAAAAACTAAATGGTCCAACCAAATATTTGTGCTTGCTTGTGTGTTTGTTTCTATTTAAGTTATAGTTTTGTTCGAGGACGAACAAAGGTTTAAGTTTGGGAATGTTTGATAAGTGCAATTTGTGCCCTTATTTATGCCACATTATTAAACTTTTAAGTTGTCACATTATTAATTTCCATTTAATTTAGGTTATTTTTCTTTGTGTTTTTAGTGATGGACCCGTTTGAAGCAAGTGGAAAGGAAGAAGGACAATGGTTGCACAAATAAAATTGTATCAAGGATTAACTTGCATTATGTGAAAGAATTGAGGGCTTGTCTAATTTAAATGGGCCTTAAGTTTGGATTTGTGTTCAAAGGCAATTGGACTTTAATTAAATCCAACCAACCGGATTGACTTGGTCTCCAAAAAATAAAAACGACTTCTTGTGAGTTCAAACATTGGGCTGAATTTATTATTTTCAAAAACTAAGTTGGTGGCTGCAAAGGAGCGAAACTGCCGGCAGAAAAAAGAAAGGAATTTGGAGAGAAAAGGAGGCTGCTTGAGGTTGAATTAATTGGGGACAATTCGGCTACCCTGTTGAGAATATATACAAAAACGGTGGGCAGCTGCTGGAGTTAAAAAGATACACAAGTGGCCGGCTGGAAAGAAATAAACTTGGCAACTTTGGAATAAAATTGGCGGCTGCCCAAAGGAAAAAGTGCTGCTGGTCTTTTATCATATATATACATACGTAACCAGGCTGCCTATATGTATAATTGCATGGATTTGGGCTGATTTTTTTATATATACTACACACACAATTTGGCAGCATACAATCGGGGATTACAACCACATTGTTGACGGAAATTGCAGAGAATATTTGCCGGTAGCTTGCTGATTTTTATATAGAAACAACACACATAATTGGGCCAAAGACATATTGAAAAAGGGCTGCTTGGGGGAAATCAACATACACGTGCAAAAGTCGAGCAAATTCGTGGAGTCAATCATGTCCTGTCGATTTTTGGTGATTTCCTTCCACTTTTCTTTGTTTAATTCCAACAATATGCTAGGCTAATTTTTTTCTATATTGGATGGATGACAAAGTTGTTTAAATTTTAGTTTTAATTCGAGACTTGTGTTTATCTTTAATTCTTGTGTTGTAATTCCATTAATATGCCTATTTACATTGTTTTAATGTTTGCACACCATTAGGACAATAAGTTGCTTATTCATTGTTTTGGAAAACTCACGATAGGTAGAACACTGTTATTGGAACACACGGGCAATAAACATTAGAAATAATATTTGTGGCGTGTGCGATCATATGTAATAATCCTAGATGTCAATGCATGTTCACCATATGAATTCGGACTAGGAATAGGACCGTCTCATGGTAAACATAGATTTATTATATCTTGGAAAAGAATAATAAATAATAGTGAAATTATCGATCGTCATAATTGCATAAATTGAGATAATTATCACTAGTTGGGAATTAGAACTAAGAATTGATCAATAGCGTCGGAAATCCAATACGTTCGTACATTTGATTTTTACACCAACCTTAATTGTTTTTACAAGTTTTAGTTATAAAAATTATTTAGCTAGTCCTTTGATAGTCTTTTAGTTACAAACACGAATTTGAATATATCAAATATACAAAAATTGATCATTATTCCCTGTGGGACGATAACTCTCTCATCACGATTATTACTTGTACAACGAACTCGTACGCTTGCGGGAATTTGACGAACAAGTACATTATATGCAAGTTAATGACCACTACTTTGAAAGTACATAGACTTTCACGAAGCACTCGATACGAATATTATCTAAGAGATAAATAAATAGAACTATAAAAGAGTTGCTGAATTCTAAGTTCTACTATAAACCAATAATGTGGGGGGTTTAAATTTAATGCTTGTGAACTTGAAATTGAAAGTTCAAAACTTGTGGATGCAACATTACTAGATTACATATGTATTCCTAATTGAGAAATTGTGGGGGTAACTCAGTTTAATAGTTACATTTGCTTCTATCTTATAGTCATAGAAATATATCCATGAAGGTAGAAAGATAGAAAACCCTTATACTAATTATAAGGATGATATACACTAAGTTTAAGGTGGATTAAATGGATGGAAGCCAATTGTGGCGATTGTTTGGACTTGCAAGAACAATTGGAATATTTGAAGAATATTCATAAAGTTCAAATGCATGGTAATATTTCAATGATGATATTGAATACCCATGATTCTGAAATCCACTAGTAAAAGTGATTGACTAGTGTAGTGTTTGATAGAAATCCTCCAACCGTATTTGAAAATTGATAAAGCTTTAGAGGATTTCTTGGTGGCGAAAATTTGTACGTATCAAATAAATTGATCGTTGGCTCGCTATATTTGATAAGATACTAAGTCACATGTAATGGTAGATCTAGACGTATAAGTCATAGACATAATACCATTAAGCAGTTGATCTCAATGGTGTAAACTCGTGGTACCTTTAAAAGAGATTTAGTAAGAGAGATCAAGAAGACTGCATATTGAAGAGAATGAGATTGAAGCCTACTACGTTAGAGTCCTTGTAATGGTAACCCTACCTTGTTGACTGGAGATCCCAAGATCTTGGTTCAAAGGGACAACTAAGTTATGAGGATTCCACGAAACACTTAGGAAAATAATTTCCTAACTCATTCCTATGAGACTAAAGTGCTTTCTATAGAGTTGTAAGAAGTTAAGATAATCTTTTAGTGATTTCTATATCTTGATTAAGTCAAGTGGAGTAGGGCAGAATACTCTTAATAGAAGGTCACCTATGTAAGTGTAAAGTGGGGCCGCTTCAACTAATCGGCTGCGTCAGGCCAATATTATTGCTTGTCGTTTTCAAGACACCCACGAAATTGATGCATGAATGATACGTGGGAGTATTGCAGTAGATAAAGCATACACTTGAGCTCAAATTTATTGAAAATAAAGTTTAGAATATACGTAAGTAGATTTATTTAAGATAAATAAGTCTTAAAACAATAGTTATTTTATTTAATTTAAATAAAGTAAACTATTTATTTAGGTAGTTACATAAGAGTTTCTTTTAAAAGTATCATAGTTCAAAGTAAGAATATGCAAGTAATACTATTCATGATCGTTTATTACGGTAGTCATCCTACGTAATATCTTATGTGGTGATTTATAATTTGATGTACTCGTGTGTTAGTTTTTTTTAAGTCTCATATATCAAATCACTAACCATTACATGTATGTCGTGTATGACGACTGCGATAGTGAATAATTGTAAATAGCATTATTCTTGTAAATATAATTGAAATAAGAAGTTATTTGAGAGAAGTTAGTTCAAAGATCATAAAGTAGGGGATAGTATTTTAGCTTAATGTACTTCGTTAGTAAGGGGAGAGAGAAAGGAAGTATAGTGAATGACCGAGTTACTCTCCAAACTTAGGGAGGTTGATTGTTATTCGGCCTCGCCATCTTTCTTATAAAGTAGTTTATCATAAATTGGCATGTAATTCCTGTGGAAATTAAGTATTTTTTAGTTTCTTTTCGAATCAAAAGCGAGGATTTGGACAGAAATAATATCTAAATCGTATGGAAAGTTATTTTAAATCGACTCTTCAACGAAACATGGCGGTTAGTCCTCGTGAAATCACCAAAAAGAGAAAACATGCAATTGAGTTTTATCATTATATAAATTAATTGATTGAATTGGATTAAGTTTGATATTTAAGAATGAGAGTAATTGTTGCAATATGCAAAATCATAACTATAAGATTGTTCTTCTATCTTACAAATAACTGGTTATTATTTATGAATTACAAAATTTTTCTCTATTCAAAAAATCTTTCTTACTGCTTGTTTGGGAGTGCTTAAGTTACAATTTATGCAGCTAAGTCACATAGAATATGTTAATACAAAATATTTGCTTAAATTCTAACTTAAGCTTTGCCAAACATGCTTAAAATTGCTATGAAATTCAAATTCATTAATAGCACAAGAATGGCTGAGGACGTACAACAATTCAGTGCACATATTCAATTCAATAACAGTAGAACAATTTCTGACGAAAAACAATGGATTCCATTTAATTAGTAGAATAAATGGAGCCAAAATCAGATTGTAATAATTCTTCGATTTAGTGGCTACTGGTTGTGTTCTTCAAGTGCTGTGCCCGCAACTCAGCGGCGTCAATCTCCTTGGCTTCATTCTCCGGCCGGTAATATCCGGTCACCGGGTCAGGTACCCATGATGTCTTTGTTGATTCATCAATTCCCTTCTTTAAAATCATATTTGGAGCCACCGCTCCTCCTCTCACACTGCTTGCCGCCGCATATCCTCTCCTGTACAAATATCCATACAAATTAACACGTCAGTAATGATTCCACAAATGTTAATTATCTCTTCTAGAAGCTTAAATTAATACCTTGAAATCTATTAAAACGCAAAAAAAGGAACTGTTTTAGTATAGAATAATCAAATACCTGGTGACAACAGGGCAGACTGTGTTGGCGATGAAAGAAGATACGATCTTGGCATTAGAAAAACGGGAAGCCATTTTTGGATTAATAAATTATGTGAAAGAAATGAAATCTGCTGCAGAAAGTAATTCCTTCTTCAGCAATGAAATCTTGTGACTTGTGATTGAATGTGGTTTGCAGAGGAGAGGAGCGCAGACTCATTTATAGTAAAAACCAGGGAGCCGCGTGAAGAGAGAGAGGGGAAATAGAGAGGAAAATGTAAACAATTGAGTTGAGGGGGCCGCGTCAAAGTAGGCTTCTCATTATACGCCAAGGGTTAATTTCTTCCCACGTTCATTGACACCAAGTCAAATCCCACTTTCACCTATTGTTTTGTCGTATTAAGAATTCCTTGAAATAATATGTGGTCAAAATTAATTGTTAAAATAACTTAAAATTTTAATTCAAATCAAATAGGACTTTGATAAGTTTAATAACTCGATGAACTAACCTCTCAACGTTCGAAAATGGGACACATTTTTTTACCTTTGGAGTATTTGGCATAATTCGATGTGAAGTAAAGAATTTCATCAATTATCATGACTCAACATGTCATGAATTCTTGGGTGCTATGATGGCACTACGGACACAAATAGTGTATGATTATCATCAGCTCGTAGAATAAAGTATTGGATTAAGTCAAAAAATGAACAACTTTTATGTTTAACTGATGAGTTTAAAGCATCTTCAATATTGTTCATGAATTTTAATTTAGAGTTTTTGAATAGAAAAACTTTAAATTGGAGGTCATTAATTATCTAATTGTTGAATGTTGGCTTGAAGTGGCACGAGATGATAGGATACACAAGACAGTGGACTTTTTTCTTGGAAAATACTATGTGTGCACTAGACTTGTACCGTCCCTACAACACGGGATTCATGATTTTTTTTTTATTCGATATGGGTCCCCATTTTGAAGGGGCTTGTACAGGCAGAAATTTTTTTTTTTTTTTCTAGATTCGAACCGACTTATCACTATACTTGCTGGAAATATGTGGCTCCCAATTGGGTCCAGCTAAGTAAACGGTCAATACAGCCGATTTCTCGTGCCTTGCCTTGCTTTTTCTTGCTCTCTACACTTTTCTTTTTGTCTTTTCTTATTTTAATTTTATGGTTAATTGTCCAAATGTCATTGACACAATCTATTCTCAGATTAAAGACTTTTCACGATTTCACAAAAAATCATGCTATAGCCCCAGATTCTTTATATAAAGCTTAGTATAATGTTAATATCGTAAAATATTATATCATTGGACTATTTTATATACAATCAATTTCTTATCAAATTATTTTCTGCCACCTCAAATTATATCAAAGCATCTGTTAAAATTTTCTGTCAAAGTAACAAAACTATTTCAAAAATTTATAAAAAAGTAACGAATCTCATGGATTATGAATGTTCAGTTAAATTTAATGTTTGATTTTTTACTTCATTTACGTATCGTTTTGAATTTGTATCAAACGAATAGTAAGTGAATGACTATCTCGTACAATTTCTAACCATTCTCTTTTGTACAGTGAATAAATCACATTGATTATCCACGATCACTGGTTTGAACACTTCATTAAATTACAACTTGTATCTTCAAGGAAGGAGTTCAGATTCTCTTTGCCGTGCCATACGGCAACATTAATATTTTTTAAAACCATATATTAAATTTAAAAATTTGCCAATGATTGCACTTGTGAATCGCTTGAATAAATTTAGGGCTGTCCTATGTGTACAAGGGAGGAGTTCATCGAATCCCTCCTGAACAGGGGTGGATGGATTTTATTTTTTATTTTTTTACAATATTTTACTCATATGGCCCACTCATGTAAATATTCTGTAGGAGTTCTGTGAACCCTTCCCATATCTACACAGACTAATTCATAAATTTATATTTTACAGTGTTCTAAAAGGCATAATGCGTGGATGTCAAGCTATGAGCTACGCAAACTTAGGCTAGGCTTGGGCGTAAAAATAGTTTTCTTATTTTAATATTATTTTAATTTTTAATAAATCAAAAAGTTATTTAATAATAAAAAATAATACTTACTAAACATTTATAATATATTTATAGGAATGTTATATATTTTTTCAAAGTTTTCAACAAAAAGATAAGTTAAAAATTTAAATACAAAATAATAAATAAATAGTATGGGAGCTTAAATTTTATCTTAACTCTTTATCGGACTCCAATTCAATATACTTTTTTCATCTAATTTGTCCTTCGTGTCTTTCGATACACGTGGTTGTTATAAATTAGGGCAAAATAAAGAAATTAGCCATCGATAATTTTTTAACAACACAAAATTTAAACAAAAAAAAATTAAAAAATGATGATAATGTGCGCCAATGCGCCATATTTGCGCCTAGGCACTCTTTAGCAGTCAACAGAATCATTGATCACCAAATAAAGGCGCCAAGCCACTTGGCTTGGCATTTTGGCTCACACTTAGGCGCATCTTGGCATTGCCTTTTAAAATGCCAATACTTTATTATAAACATTTGATGATGAGAGCATGGAATTTTCTTGCACGACAAGGACTCATATTTTTTGATTAGTTTTTCCTTAATTTTTTTTTATCAAAATTCATAAATATCATAAATTAGTAATGGGATAATAAATTTTATTATCATTATTATCTCACTATCACTACTATATTAAAAGAGAATGTCACTTTTACTATTCATTCTCGTAGTACTCCTTTTCACACCAAACGAGTTCCAACGTGGTTTTCCTTCTAATGTGTGTAGATCTATTGATTGTGAGAAGGAAAAATGCACTGTAGCGAAAACAGTTAATTATTGTGCTTATTTTATTTTTGCTGAGATGATTTTTTTTTCTGTAGCTAATTACTTTTTTAGAAGTCAGCAAAGACATATTTGTGTATTGTAGCAATTTTTTGTGGTGAGAAAAGTAACAATACACGGCATTTGCTTCCATTTTGTCCAAATGTGGGCCCTATTGATTGACACGTGCCACATGCAAGTTTTCTCAACTGACTTTTCAATTATGTTATTATTTTGAATTCCCATATCACCCTCAACATTAACAACATGTTTTTTTTTTTTATAGACCACCAACAAACTATAAGCAACAATTTCTTTTGTTACTTTATACATTTTTCTTTCGGTTTTTTGGACACTTTATTATAAATTTGATGTTGAAGATAGTTTATGAGTTATTATGCATTTATTTTGCATTTTGACATTTTTTTGGTTTATGATGAGACTTATCCTTAGAACACTTTGAGTCTTACAGGTCTCTCTAAGAAAAATGCCTCGGTGCCCGTTTATGTTTTTTTAAACATTGAATTAACCAATTTGATTTTTTTTTTGAAGAATTTTCATCCATGCCACCTTAAAGAAGATGACTCAAATCCATGTCAATAATTTGGTAAGGCTTCACTTTTACCATTTGAGCTAAGCCTTGGTCTTGAACTTGATTAATTTACAACAATATTTATTTTACTAATAATTATAAAGTTAATACAAATATAGAAGTGTGTACAGTGAAAAGGGAGAATATAAAACCAACCACAGGAAAACGACAGTGGAACTGTAGAAATAAAGTTTTATGATAACCAAATTGCTATTCTATGCAGCTCGGTTAAAGCTCGTGGGAGTGGTAAGTGCTTGCTTTTACATTCAACAATTCAGCTGAGATTAATGGCTCTTGCTAATTTGAGTAGTTGAAAGCATTTCATATGAATTAAATTTTTTTTTTCTTATAGTTGCTCTATCACTATGCTTCAAGGTAGATTTTCTCTTTTATATTTTATTTTTCTGTATCATTCCTAAGAGTAAGATGTACCTAGAATGGTCCTAAAATTCAATTTTTCGTCATACAACCCTTGAGATTGATCAAGTATGCAATGGGAAAGTTAGGTGTAGAGTTTCGAAGGGAGATGCAAAGGAATTCGAGGGTTGTACATCGGTTAATTCACTCCAATAGCTACTTGGATATTCTGAAGGGTAATGCCTTGAATAAGGCTTTCGAGAAATCATAAGGGAAGCATTATCTGCCATGTTTGCTTCAGAGAAGAGATTGTTGCAATTAAAATTGTTTGCTAAACATATAAATACTGGGAAGTTGCCATGATTGAGATTAATATCTTACAAAAAAATTGCAAGGCAAGGACTTTGTAGCACAGGATAGGCATATGACACACTAAAGTCAACAACGTCCTTCCTTTATTCGCGAAACAAATATGAGTCTACCAATTCATAAAACAGCCGCGCCGCCTCATGTTTTTCCTTTGGGCCATGCTTCACGTACAGGCCCCTGTACAAGGGCCCTTTCCCTTTTCTTTTTCCAAGTATTTACACCTATACAATACTTTTGAGTTTTCAATTTGTAATTTAAAAAATTAACATGATGTAAAAAGTGAAGAATGAGAGAGAATATTGACTTTGATAACATGAAAAAATAAAATCGTTAATTTTTTATTTTTTTTCAATTGATCCATTCTGTAACCACTAAGAAATAAGAAAATATCGTGATTATTCCAAAAAAAGTTTAAATTTAAGTGTCTTGTTACAAATTGAATTTGAAAGTACAATAACAATTGAGATTTTTTTTTTCCCGAAGATGGAGTTGTATAAATTTTCCACATAAACCCAAGCTTTTCATGGTTACATGTAGTTCGATAGAATGAATTTATTTAATATAAATTATAAATTAGAGGTTCTAATTTACCTGTCGAATGAATGTGAAAATATAAATCAATATATAAGACTTTGGATTACTCATTTGAACAATAATAATATTTTAAGATGAAATTTCAAATTCCAAATGTTAGATTTTTCAAAATTCGAAAATAAATTTGTTTAAATAATAAGCTTATGTGAACTTCAAAAGGAGTTAAAGCTAAGAAAGAAGAATCATGCTGCGGCCACATGGGCCCTCTACTGCCCTGGGGGCCTACAACCATTATAATGCTAAGAAGAATCACATATCTTCCGCTATATTTCTCTCAATCATATATTTTTTAATAAAATAATATTACACGTAACTTTAAAAATTTTCTTTCCTTTTTAATCATATGTTTTTTAAAAAATTACTATTTTTTCATTATAAATAGAAATAATGGAGCCAAACAGGGCTTAGACTACTCAATATACAATATTATTCTTTATTATTGCACTTTTTTCAAAATTTATCCATCCTTTCCCAAATCTTACTTTATTTCGGCTCAACGAAGCAACTGCGCCGTCCTACATATTTAAAGTTTGAGAATAGGTCGAGGGTGTTGCGGCCCCGATGCCTCTAATCATTGGCTTTACCCGGTAGAACTCGCGCCCGAGCTCTAGCTATCCTGAGGGAAACTTCGGAGGGAACCAGCTATTAGAGGGTTCGCGCCACTGGCTTTTCAACCAAGCGCGATGACCAATTGTGCGAATCAACGATTTCTCTCATACTAGGTTGAATTACTGGAATTATAAAATTGATCCCCATTTAATTTTAAAAATCTGTAAATAAGCCTTTCGGTCAATATTCAAGATGTGTGCTTCTAAAGAATGCTTCTTGGTACGTTATTGTACATAATACTTATATATGAAACAAAATGATATAGCATATCTTTATTGCACAGAAATAGTCATAAAGACATTAGTAAAAATTTAAGTAGTAAATCTAATTAAATAATTCAAATATTAATAATTGGAATTAGAATAATTTGGAGAGGCGATGTTTGCCCAGGCTTAAAGCTAGGGCAAAATCCGACTTGGCGCCAGTCGGATTTTGCCTTGACTAAGCCTGAGCATTTAGTTTTATTCAATAATTTGCTATAGTGGGTGCAGTGTACATTGTACTCAAATAATGTTCGCATTCTTTCGCGTAAGTGGTAGAGATTTAACATGGTTATAATAAAAAGATTAATACTCAATAAGTTTTGATATACGCTTAACCGCGCAAAACATATAACGCAGTCCTTCCAAATTGCTAAAAAACTCAAATATGTAGAACACACACAGTGAAAAATTGAATTTCGAAAAAAGCAAGATGACCCATTTATACAACGGGCGAGGAGATTTCATCTTTGTGGGTCCTTCCTCACAAGCTTGGCATACGACCTTACAGATGTGAGTCGATGTACCCTTTATTCGAGCGAAGTGTTCATGAAAGGGACCTATAAATCTTAATGTACCAAAGTTCATTCTTCCACTTACTTCGACGAGTTTACTGCCTCTGCAAGGTTCGTGGATCATGAATGGCTCCCATGCAATATGATGTGATGTGGCAATTGCACCTTATATGGCACTCCCATTTTTATTTGGCTTACGTGTAGCCTCCACATGTAGAGAAAATTGTATATTTTTCGTGATATTTATACACGAAATGTTAATTGACTTGCGTGTCTTTAATTAAATGAAATACGAGATTCTTTCAAATTTTTCAAAATTTTACACGTAAATGTATAGTACTTGATTGATCACCAACTTCTCTCAAGAAAAATGGTGGTATGAAATGCCTTACATTTGATATAATGATATTGTTTTTGGATTTCACGTATCCTTCTGAGTTTTAAATACTCTCCTTAAATTACAAATTTTTCGGTTAAACTCAAGTCATATTGGATGGTGGTTGAGTGATGTAGCAGGTCGTCAAGTAAATAATAATAATAATAATAAATTCTCAAGAATATATAATAGATGAATAATGTTTACATTTTTAATTTCGTATAAAAAAATGTTTGAGCTCTTTTTTTTTTTTTTTTCAAAAATTCATTTTCTATCACACATTTTTTCATAAAATAATTTTACATGTAAACTCAAAATTTTTTCTTAATTTTTAATCGCACATTCTCTAAAAAATTCTATTATTAAATTTATTATTCCCAAAATGGGGCTCAAACAAGGTCTTAGTAAAATGTCAGGAATTGTTTGATTTTATATTCAAATATAATTTATTTAGTTATATTAGATTACAAAGAAATTAGGTCTAGATTTCATGTTATATTATTTTCCCAAAGTAAATTTTACAAAATGATGAGGGTTATACCTCGAGTTTTAAGATAATAAAATTTGGGACATTACAATATGGTAATGTAAAATCTGCTTTGCATGCTTGTTTGGCAGTGCTCTAAAGTAATTGTTAGCCATGTATCATATGAAATATGCGGATAATAAATGAGTACTGTGTTTGAAAACTAGTGCTATTTGCGTCAAATTTCTGAATTCTACAATATCAAACTTTGTCGAAGCCCATTTGAAGTGACCCAATTTAAGCCCCGATACTCCCAAGGACTGAACCCATCCTCCCGTAAATTTCGCCTCTCGATTTCTCGGTTCGAAGTTCGAACTATCTGTTCGGTTCACCGGAAAAAGAGACGAAAAAAAGTGGCAATGGCGGAGATCACCCCCACCGGCGGCGATGTTCCTGCTAACATGACTATTTACATTAATAACCTCCACGAAAAAATCAAGCTTGACGGTATTATGCACGCTTCTATGTATACTAACAATTTTACATTCAAATAGATGCAATTAAATATATTTTTGTGTGTGTGTGTGTGAATGTATGGTGTTTCATAGATTATCTTTTCTATTTAGAACTGAAGAAATCGCTTCATGCGGTGTTTTCGCAATTTGGGAAAATTCTGGAGGTTTTAGCATTCAAAACCCTAAAACACAAGGGGCAAGCTTGGGTAATTTTCGAGGAGGTTTCTTCTGCTACTAATGCACTTCGACAGATGCAGGGATTCCCGTTCTACGATAAGCCCATGGTAGAATGTTCCTCACTTTGACAGTCCTCTTTTTTTTTCGGGGATTTTTTTATCATTATTTTGGAAATTCGATCCCTTAGTTATAGTAGCTGACCTGAATGTTAGTTTGGTAGATTATGCTAATTTTCTTTCCGGGGTCTAATGGTTATGTTTTTGTTGTCAACTGAATATTATGGTTTTCCTTATTTAACTGTGGTTTGTACCAGAATACCATTATGTGGTGGATAATTTTACATGTTATCTACGAACTCGATTTCACAGTGCGGTCATTGAATTCTCATTAGTCATTACCAGGCAATGCACTGATAAGTGAAACTCCCTCCCCACCAGAACTGCAAAAAGAAGCTTACTTTATTTGAAACGTAGAGGTAGAATAATTAGGAATGAAATTTATCACTGTACTAAATTTTTATTTACGTGATTTTATAATATGTCTTGCTTACACAAAGGTTCATTTGAACCAGCTAAGAACCGCAATAAACTTTTGCGGCAATGATTAGCAAATCTGTGATGCATTATGTATTCCGTATTACGATTTGTGATTTGCATTAAAAATTGGTGCAAGATCCCTTCCAAAATTACATTGTGCCATCTCTAAGCCCGTGTAAAAGACATAGAATCTTTCTTGAGGTGCATTATAATTTTCTTGGTTTAGATAGCAGTTACATATTATTTAAGCAATAGTAGATAAATATGAAATGGACATATTTCTGATTTGAGCTTAGTAGTGCATATTGGAGGTAAATTTTGGTGGGAATGGATTTAGATGGTTTGTCTCTGTGTACACTGTATCTCTGTGGTGTTATTTGTGTTTCTTCTGTGGTTGTAAACTTCTACAAAAAATTGAAAGCCATCTCATGTGGTGATTTGAAATTAAACTGTGGGATCTCCTTCAGCAGCCTTCGGTGTTTGCTAAATAATGAATTAGTACTTTCCATCATTGGTCATTTTTATGTGTGGATCCATGCATAATTTGTGTGGTAGTTCAGTTTCTGATGAGACAATAAGATTGTAGCTGACTATGCACTTGATGAATGCAATTGGGATTCCTTGCTTTACTTTCTTTTTTTTTGTAATAATGTTTGCATATTTGATTTTGTACTAATCATCCATCTTTTTACCAAATCAGTTTAGATGTGTAACGTAACTTCTGTTTCCTGTCTTTAATGACATTGGTGCACGCGTGTGGGGCCTCAATTTTTCTAATTTAAAATATATGTTTTTTTAAATCCCAGCGGATACAATATGCAAAGACAAAATCTGATATCATCGCAAAGGCGGATGGTACTTTTGTACCTCGAGAAAAAAGAAAGAAGCATGATGACAGAGGTAAAGCATCTTTCTTTGGTACACGTGTCCAATCAATACAGAAAATATGTAAATATTCTTCAACGAGAATGACACTTGTTATTTGCTATTGTAAACACTATAGAACATATGGATCTGCTGAAACAATACCAATTGATTTTCAAATCCAGTTTAAGATTTGTTGTCTTTTATATACTTAATTTTCGTTTTTGTTTCTGTCCACGTGTGTATCAACTTGGAGGATGTAATTGTCAGGTGATGTGAAAACCAGATTAATTAAAAGTGCCTCTTAGCTTGGCCTTTGGGGAATTGTGCTTCTTGGTTTTTGTGTTTCTTTCTTCTATTTTATTTTATTTCATTGTGCACCATGGGTGGTAGGAAGAAATATTTGCTACTGGAAATCTAGAAATTATGGATGTGCTGAAGAAATATTGTGTATACTATCTAGTGGAAGACCTGATTTACTTCATTCATATAATTAGCTTCTCTACATTTTTGTTGGGTTGTAAGTGATTCTTTGGTTTAGATGCGAAAAACGGGTCTGGTTTGCTTGACTCTTTAATTTTCACCTTCTTGCTGGGGGAATGACGTGCACTTTGGGAGTGGGGGAATATTTCCATAGTATTCTGAAGGTTTTACATGATTGATAATCTACAGAGAGCTAATATAGGCAGCTTGGTGGGTTGACAATACGACTTTAGAATGAGATAACAGTCCTTGATTCCGCCTATAGTAGGGTTTTTGTGCCAATTAGAGTGATAAAGTGATTTGATAATAGAAAACTACTGTGCTAAGCACCCAAAACCAATAAATGGAATGAGAAATCATGTCATTTGTAGTACTGGTTCAAATCCTTTACGTGAAGGATGTGTCGGTTTATGAGTTGATTGGAGCAATCTCTTAAGTTTTGCTTCATTTATACCATTGTTATTATTCCCAAAACTCAATTTCTAGAACGGACATAAGAGTAGCATTTATTATATTTGAGAAAATAAATGCACAGGTAATAAAGAAAAGGACGACTTGAGGTGCTATTCTTTATCTGGGTCTGGGTCATTAATTATGTTCACATTTATAATTTCTCTTTTTTTTAACTACATTTTTCTACTGTGCTACAGGGAGAAAGAAAAAGGAGCAACATGATGCTTCTAATCCTGCCTATGCTGGTGCCTATGGTGCAGCTCCTCCTGTAAGCATACTGCTCAAGGATAACCTCCCTGCATTTTTATGAATATAAGTTCTCATTATTATAACAACATAATTCAATTGGGCCATCAGCCATTCCCAGTGTAGTTTTGGTAGGTTTTGAAAAAGTGCTTGATTTTGGTGGTAGGTCACTGATGTTAGTTTGTAGAACCAGGGAACACGTATAAATGAAATAGAAAAATGAGGAAGTGTAGAAGTACATATTTGAAGTTAAGCAATACTTGTGAATCCCCCATAACCATTGTGTATTTCTACTGTAGAAATTCATAATAAGGTAGATAATTAATCCCTGCTATATTCCCTTCTTTGTGGCCTGAAGTCTTGTTGCATTTAGAGGTTAGACGTCTATGGGCCCCAGGGGCTCTATAACCATTTTGTGACGAAAATCAAAGTCAACATGCAAGAACAGGTTGCGAGAATCTTTTGTGATTATGGAATGTTAGAATCCTGAAGGAAAATTTAAGATGAGTGAGCAACAAAAAAAGGTGAAATGTTATTTTACCTAGGGTTGGACATGGTCCGGTACGGTTTGGTTCTCTTTACAACTGAACCAAACCCGAAATTTTCGGGTATTTAGTAAGTAGAACCATTAGGTCCAAATTTAATTATGAAATTGTTTGGTTTTGGTTCCATTTGATTCCCAGGTTCCGTACTATAATTAAATTTTTTAATATTTACAAAGCTACGTTAATTCAACTAAGACATGTTCAATCTTAGCTATTATAAAATAACGTAGTTTAATTTTATATATCTTTTGCATCTTTTCATTGAGTTTTCATATATTTAATTGTTAAAATCATAGAAGGAAGAAAATAAGCTAGCTCGCAATAATTAAGAGATGTGCAATCGAGTTTCAATTCGATTTCTCCAGAACGGTAAAAAGGGCACTACAGTAGAATAACAAATTTGAGTAAAATTTAGATCAATTTGATTAAGTTTGGCTTCGACTGAAAATTAAAAATAGGAAAATCATATTTTTTGGTTTGTTTAGAAAAAAATAATTCGACTTATTTAAAATCATAAATTAAAAAAATTTTGTTCTTATTCGGTTCTTTATTTAGAATCGAGAACAGAACTAAATCTGTCGGTTCTCGATTCAGATACCCGTTCAGATATTTAACTTAAGAAGAACCTCTCTGTTTGGGTCTGGTCCAGTTCGATGTGGTTTGGGAGTTTTGTTCGGCCCTAATTTTTCTTTCATGGGATGGCGTGCCCTAAAATCTGCCTATGAATTGTAAATCCACAAAGCCCGTTAAAATTCGTTACTATTGGGTTCCTATCAAGATTGGTTCATGAATAAAGCGCTCCTAGCTTGACACATTATTAAGCTTCTTAAGAAAAGTTAATTATCTTAACTAGAGCTATGCTCATAAGCATCACTTTGCCAAAGAAAGGATCAAAGCTGTTCAATCCTGAAAAAGCTTGTTTACGATAAGACTCCTTGAATAATATTGGTAAGTATAAAATAAGGTCAAGCTTTATTTAGGACTTGTTTTTGAAAAATTAAGATCAAGCTATGTAATGCTATACTTACCAACTCATATTTGCTTTATTTTGCCATTATTGAGGTTAAACTGCTTTTCTGTACCAGTTTTCCCATATAACGGTTTTTATTGTATATGAAGCTGGTTTTGTATGTTTAATTCTCTACTTTTATTTATAATTGTTTTTTAAGCAAACTTAACAGTAAGGCTTCTCTCTCCAAATGTTGTAGCTGTCTCAAATACCATACATGGGCGCTAAAGCTGCTGTCCAGGAGGCTCCAGCTCCACCAAATAACATTTTATTTGTTCAGAATCTTCCTCACCAGTCGACCCCAACGATGCTGCAAATGCTGTACTGTCAGTATCCTGGATTCAAGGAAGTTAGAATGGTGGAAGCAAAACCAGGAATTGCTTTTGTCGAATATGAAAATGAGATGCAATCAACTGTAGCAATGCAGGGACTTCAAGGATTTAAGATAACCCAAGACAATCCTATGTTGATTACCTATGCAAAGAAGTAGACTACGGTTTTTTTGTATTGCTTTTGCTCTAGAGAATGGTTTCTCTGCAAATTTAATCATTATCATTTTGACAGCTCTCTCTTAGTAGTACCTTTGTTGTTTTAGTGCCTGTGTTTGATTCATCAAGGCCTTGTAGAACTTCCTTTCTCTGGTTATTATGATGCTAAACAATGACTGTTCGTCTTTGATATTCACATATAGCAAGCTTTTCTTTGTTGCATTACATATAAGGTTAGTACAACTTGTGCATTGCGCAGCAGGGTGTGCATCTTAATGCAGGCGTGTCCTAGTGAATGCTCTTTAACTGAATGAATTTGCACCAAAAATTAAAAAGAACGAGATAAAACACGGCTGAACAGTATTGTTTCCTTTCATGAGAGGCATAACAGAATTTCTTTGATGCATATGGCACTTGTTTAGGCACAATTTCTTCTGTTTAGAAAAAAAGATGATCATTGTAGGTCCAAAAGTTTATGCTTCAATCAATATTATCCGACAAAAATACGATTGATTGCTGTACACAACGTACCTTTTCCTTTTCTTTCTCAATTTTGCCATGTACTCCAAAAATGCAGACGTCAACTCAAAGGTACAAGTGGAAGTTAAGTATAAGTACCCATTTGGTCTGAATTAAAATCTAATTTTCATTCAAATTAAAGTCAAACAATCAATATTAATATCTTTCATGAGTCCACAACTTTTCAACCACACATTTCAAAAATTTGTAGTACAATCTACTAAAAAATCTAATTTTAATTTCCACCAAACACCCTCTAAATATCTTAATAAATCAGGGATTGCATTGATGTGACCCAAGAATGCATTTTTTGTAAGAAAACGGCGCCCAGACGAGGGTATAGGTTATAAAACACGAAACTTCAAACTTTCAAAATTCATGGAGGTTTAACGTATTAATCATCGGTTCAATCAGAGTTTTAGACATCTTTCTAGTTACACTCTTTCCAACTGAGTTTTGTGTTTGTGCAGTTGCTCTTTCAACTCCTCCCTCCACCCTTGAATCCGTCGCTCTTGCTTATTAATTAGCTCAGTCTTTAATTTTAACTCTTCTTCCATCATAGCAATCTCCTGCCAAAAATGTGACATTAATATCCGGATCAGTCATCGGATATGAAGAGTAATAAGAAACATGTCGATATTGATCTATCTGCAGTTTACCTTCTGAAGGGTTTCTGCTCTGGTGGGCTGATCCTCGCGTAGTAAACCAATAAAATAGAGCTGAAGCTTTTTGGCTGCCTCCATAAAGTCTCTAGCATGTCTCTCCACATCAACTGAAGCAAAACAAGCATGTTATGTCTATCATTTTTTCTTTTCTATTCTGTTTTATTCATTAATTGGTGATGAAAGGCCTAACTATAATTCCATTTCACAAGACAATCACCCAGCCACAAGTAAAATTACAAGTTTCATGGAAGAATGAATGAGGATGCAGACAAGTTAAAATAACTTCCAGAGGAGCTTAGAAGCTATTATAAATTCGATACATAAACGGAAATGTTGAAAGGAAGTTACTGTAAATTTAGACCTCACAGCAGGTTCACTAATAAGAATCCAAGTACTCATTTGAGTTTGTCAATCAGAGCAGCGTAACAACAATAACTGCAAGTAACACCCGTTCAATGTTTGACTATAGGTTCTTCCACTAAATTGGGCCTTAAAGGCTCATATTAGATTGAAAATTTCTTTGGAGAACTAATATTATCTTCTAAGGCTATCACCACTGTCAGGGGCGGACCTGGGGGGATTATAGGGTCAATTGACCCTCTTGATTTTGGGGGGAAAAAAATTTTTGCTTAGTTTTTTTTTTTTTTTCTTAGCTTTTTTTTATTAGAAGATACCCTATAAATTTTATTTTTGACCCCCCAACCCAAGTCGTCTGGGTCCGCCCCTGCTCATATTAGATTGAAAATTTCTTTGGAGAACTAATATTATCAAAATCCCAGTACATAAAGTGATAAGCCACCTGCCTCGAAAATGATCTTAGGGGAAAGAATGGGTACCGAATATTTTGACCAATGCAAAGAATAACTAAAACAATAATAAGTGAATTAATTGTGCACAGTTTACGTTACGGGTTAAGTCCTGATCAACTTAAGATAGCAATATGATCAGATGAAATTGAAAACAAGCAAAGCAAAAACACATATCATATAATGATTTACTCTAAATGCGAGAGCTACGTCAACTAGTTATTGCAGGTTTCACCATAACAGCGAAGAGGATAAAGTTTTCCTCATGCCTCTTGCGCACCATAACAACTACTTAAAAAATCCTTTATATAGCATGAATATTGGGGCAATTAATACATGTATAAACTACCCAATATATATCTAATATAAAATTTTCCCATGAGCTTATAGCCCTCGAACACCTCATTCGGAGGTACTTATCGCCCCCTATGACCACCTCGTCAAAAAGATATCTTGAGACTATAATTAGGCTCTACATAGTCCAACAATTTACTATGTTCTTGTTTCTCAATTTTGATTCACATTTCTCCTTTCCCATATCCGAGAATCCCCCTTCACTCCAATTTGCAAAAGTAGTACTAAAAAATAACAGAAAAACGATAACTTACTCTGGTGAGAAGGATGGGGAGAACGGTCGATTGCTTGGAGTTCTCTTGCAGGTAAGCACGGTAGCAAAGCAGCCTCCAATGCTACCACGTAAGAGATCATGTCCTCCTTTGTTGCAGGAGGAGACTGCAATTGTGCATCTTGCTGCGGCTCATTCAATTTTCTTTCAGCCATGTCAATCTTAACAAAATTATCGATTAGAAATAAGAAACTGTAGAAAATACAAGGCAAAATGGATTAAGTCATATGGACTATAGTAGCAAAACAAAGGTCACACACATTTTCAATTCAATCCACGTTGATAGAAATAAGGAAGGTGGAATTTCACCGAACACGTATAATGCATTACAAAGGGAAAGGGTTAAAAATGTCCAATACCCTTCAAGAAAATCATAGTAGTAGTAGAACTATCCCTTAGACGATTTAACAAACACGTGAAGTGCACAGCAAAATTGAGGAGAAAAAAGAAATTACAAGATCAAACAAATAAGAAAAACCAGCAAACACACTCCCTTAATCCCACACGCGTAATCCAACTTAATTGATATTTCTGAAACATTTTAATTTTTTGGGAGCGAAGGTAAACATACTGAAGATTTGAAAAAGGATATTTCTGAATTTCAAGACTAGACGAGAGAGACTCCTCTTATTCCAACCAACGTTAAGGCTAACTGCGTGTGCGTGAAAGCCGCGTAAGGGGGAGGGGGTGGTGGGGGAGAGTGAGACCGATTTTAACTTTTAAGGAAGAATTGTGCTATATGTACAAAGATATTTGTACTAAAAGTTTTACATACTTTTACAATAGAATAATAAGGATCACATCGTGAAATTTTTTAATGCAAGGGGAACCTGCATATATGTAAGAGTGAGTAAACCATTTTGTCAATCAAATTTTTTACAATAGTTTTATCCTTTAAGCACCCCACTTGTTGCTCAATTTCCATAACATCACTTCATATTTAAGAATAAAACTTATGAAAAAAGTAATTTTAAAAAAAATGTAATATTAAAAAGTAGAAAAATATTATTCATTCAAATGCAAAATTATTTAATTGAAAAAATGTATAGTAAAAAATGAGTACACAAAATGAATTTTAAAAAATCTGTCCCTAACAAGTGCTAAATAGAAATCAAACAACCAATCATTTGGAGTTAAGAAAAAAAAAATAGTGTAACCAATAGCACGGTTGAACCTGATTAATCATTTTAACCGAGAGCCTACAACAAATTTGTTCGATCACTATAAATGGCCACAATAACAAAAAATCAATTCAACCAGTATATAAAATGATTTTGTTATAATCGATTCCATCGTAGTTTAAACCAATTTGATCTTTCTACATTTAACCCTTTTATTTTTTTAGGTTAATATATAGTTCGATTTTGAAATTAATCATTTTGATAGAAAAACGTATTGAGGAACAAAAGAGAAGCTGCTCAGTTGGACAGAGGATCAGCTGAACTGGATTGCAAGGAATTAGAAAACAGTACACATCAACATGCCTACAAGGAGCTGCCAGATCAACAAGTTGGGATTATCTAGAAGAGAGGCAGCTAAGCATTCTAGTAGGATAAAAGAAAAGTTTGTTATGAAATTGTTACCTGAGAATGCATTTCATGTGCATTTGTATAGTGTATATTCTTTTCAGATTTTTTTTTTATTCATTCTTTTGTAGCATAAATACTCAAGCTATGTAATCATTTCAACAAGGTGAAAGAAAGAAAATAATGAATATACAGTAGTCTTCCACTCTTTTTACATTCAAAACTATTTCTCTGTGAATTTAAGTTGTTACATATTCAAAAACTAACATGGTATAATCAAAACATTTCACCCCCAAATACTCCAGCCCCAAATGATGATCTGTGTCCAAATACCGACCAAAATAGGTCAGCTATCTCTGCTCATGATCCAACTCAGCCCACAAGCCCTTTCTACATTGGAAGCAGTGATGACTCGGTTGCAATGCTTGTCACTCACACTCTGGATTCAAACGACTATTATTCATGGGCTAGATCCATGAAAAGGGTCCTGCGCATTAAAAACAAGTTGGGGTTTGTGAGCCATCAGACCCCAATGACCCTCTAATGGAGCATTGGTTGCGTTGTAATGATATAGTGATAACTTGGATGTAGAATACAATGGCAGTAGATATCAAATACAGCACAGTTTATGTAGAAACTGCTCATCAACTTTGGTAGGAATTAGAGCAATGTTTTGCTCAACAAAATGCACCAAGGATCTTTGAAATAAAACAAGGCATTACAACCTTGTTGCAAAACCAGGATTCAGTGAGTGTATATTTTTCCAAACTTAAAACATTACTTGATGAATTGTTGAATTATGAATCTATTTTTATCTGCACTTGTGGAGGTTTGAAAACTGTGGTCCAAAATCAGCAAAGAGATAAGATAATGAAATTTTTGATGGGTCTCAATGACTCTTACAAAGAAATAAAGGCACAAATCTTGTTAATCAAGTCATTTCCCAGCCTAAATGAAGTCTACTCAATCGTCTAGCAAGAAGAGAAGAGAAGAGAAATATCCACAAATGGTTCAAGCAATGAGTCTATGGCCTTGTTAAGCAAAGGAAATCTTGATAAACAATTTGGTGGATCACAAAAAAGGGAGAGATACTACTGCGCCTACTATAAAATTCCAGGGCACTCTGTGGAGAGATGCTTTAAAGCAAACCCAGATAGACCTACGTGTTCTTACTGTCAAATGCCAGGCCACACGGCAAAAAAGTGCTTCAAACTGAATGGTTATCCAGTGAATGTGAAGGACAAACCTCAGATGTCGTTAACTCAAGAGCAGTACTCACAGCTTTTGGCACTCTTAAAACCTACCGCCAGCAATCAAAATAATGTTCAAAACATGCTTTCATCATCCTCCACTGATCATAAAATTTCTAGTATATGTTCTTTGTCTGCCTTTACTTCTAAACCTCATAAAATTTGTGACATTCTATGGATTTAAGATACAGGGACAACAGATCATATGATCTATTCAAAAACTCTATTTCACTCTATTCAAGCTGCTGTCTCGTCCTCAGTAGCTCTACCAAATGGGGAATGTTACTCACATAGGAATAGCCAAAGTCACAAAATCACTCACACTCAGTGATGTTCTCTGTGTTCCTCATTTTTCTTTCAACTTGATTTTAGCCAAGAAATTGTCTCAACAACTAAATTGTTGTCTTATTTTCTTCTTTGATTGTTGTTACAGTCAGGACCTCATGAGATGGACAACGATTGGAATGGGTGAGGTGAAGCAAGGATTCTACCATGTGCTGCAAAAGGAGGTCTTCCCTTCAGCACTATCTAATGCCTTACTCAAATACAACCTAAAAGCTAGCTTTCTTGCTTCTGTCAACAATGTAGAGACTTTTGACCTATGGCACTATAGGCTGGGTCATTCTTCTTATCCTGAATTTCATTTGAATGCTGATGATTACATTTTATAATCACCCAATGATCAACCTTGTCTAATATGTCCATTAGCAAAGCAACACATGTTGCCTTTTACTGTCAGCCAGCATAGAACCAAAGCTTGTTTTGAGTTAATACACTGTGACATTTGGGGTCCTTGCAATGAAGTTAGTCATGATGGTTCTAAATATTTTTTAACTATTGTAGACGATTTCAGTAGATGCACTTGGATTTACATGTTAAAACTAAAATAAGAAGCAACCTCTAATTTACAGCACTTTTGCAGTATGGTAGAAAATTAATTTGAAACAAAAGTAAAAATCATTCAAAGTGATAACGGAGGGGAGTCTAACATGAAAGATTTTTACCTACAAAATGGGATTATGCATCAAACAACATGTGTGGAAACACCACAACAAAATGCAATTGTGGAGAGAAAACATCAATACATTTTGAACGTCACAAGAGCATTAAGGTTTCAAAGTGGTATTCCTTTAAAATATTGGAATCATTGTGTTCTAACAGCTGTTTATTTCATAAATAGAACTCCAACTCCTTTATTAAATCACAAAAGTCCTATTGAAATTCTTTTCAAAACCAAACCAAATTACAATCATCTCAAATTTTTTGGATGTTTGTCTTGCCACTACTCTTGTACAAGGTAGGCATAAATTTGATCCTAGGGCCAGAAAGTGCATATTCATTGGATACCCTTTTGGCACCAAAGGATATAAGCTATTGGATTTAGATAATGGAAAAATTTTTCTCTCTCGAAATGTAATTTTTCATGAAACTGTTTTTCCATTCAAAATTGAAAATGGGAATTATCATGACTCTTAACCAAACCCTAATGAACTCAGTTATACTCAAAATCCTATCATATCAGATACCAATCTCCCCATCCTTCACAATCCCAACATCACTGATCACTCAAATCCCCATATAACAGACATAGCTACTCCTGTACTACCCAGTTTACCAACAAATAAAGTAGACAGACTTGATGACACTTCTATACATCAATCAAAATCTGAACAAATCACTCATACACACTTACCTCGTAGGTCAAATAGAATAAAAAGGGCTCCAACACACCTCCAAGACTTCATATGTCAGCAAGCAACTTTACTTCCCCCCATCTCAATTGTTGAACAATCAAGAGGTACCAACTCGATCAGGTAATCCCTTTCCTCTTAGTGCTAGAATAAATTATGAAAATATGTCTACACCATATAAAGCATTTGTGACTTCAATAACTTCATATACCGAGCCCAAAATCTATCTAGCAGCTAGTACATCTTCTGAATGGAGAGCTGCCATGAAGACTGAGATTACTGCCCTTGAACTTAATGATACTTGGGTGATTGTTGACCTGCCTTCTAGTAAAGAAACAATAGGCTGCAAGTGGGTGTATAAAATTAAATTTAATGCTAATGGGAGTATAAAAGGGCATAAAGCAAGACTTGTAGCAAAATGATACACATAGCAAGAAGGGTTAGATTATCATGAGACTTTTTCACCTGTGGCAAAAATGGTGACAGTTAGAACTTTGTTAGCAATTGTAGCAGTAAAAGGATGGTTTCTACATCAATTTGATGTTAATAATGCATTCTTGCATGGAGATTTAGAAGAGGAAGTATACATGGACCTGCCACCTGGATATCCTAGTAAAGGGAGGCGAAAAGAGTGCAAACTTAAGAAAAGTCTTTATCGACTTAAGCAAGCTTTTCGCCAATGGTATTCAAAACTTTCAAATTTCATCATTCAACAAGGGTATTTCCAATCCAAAGCTGATTATAGTTTGTTTACAAAAGGAAATGACACTTCTTTTACAACTATCTTAGTATATGTGGACAATATAATACTTGTTGGGAATTGCATGGAGACAATCAATCAATTGAAGCGTTGTCTTGATAACCAATTCAAAATCAAAGATCTTGGAAAATTGAAATACTTTCTTGGTATTGAAGTTGCCAGATCAACGAAAGGGATTTACTTATGTCAAAGGAAATATGCTTTGGACATCCTTGGAGATTCAGGTACTATTAGCTCAACTCTTGCCAAAATTCCTCTAGATCAAAATTTGAAATTGCCTAAGGAAGAGGGAGATCTTCTACGTGAATCAGCTCTCTATAGAAGATTGATTGGAAGGCTATTATATCTTACTATCACAAGGCCTGATGTAGCTTATTCAATACAATTGATAAGTCAGTTTATGGATGCTCCTAGACTACCACACTTGAATGCAACACACAAAGTTTTGCGGTACTTAAAGAGATCACCAGGGCAAGGAT